AATTATATACATTACGTATGTGAGCCTTATTATTCATTCAATTCACTTCTAATTTTCTAATTTATTGAAACTCAAGCACATTTTTTGCCAAAAGTTTTTTATGAAAGTTCTTGAAGGCATTCATAGCGTCAATAAAGTCAAATGTATTGCAAAATATGGACTTAAGGTTACGTTTGGTTCAGTCTTTTGAAGGCCATAACTATTAATGTCTCGACTATTAATGACTTTTAATCTAGAATTTTAAAAAACAATAAGAAGTAATTTTTACTAAAATCAAACAAATATATTGTATTTAAATAATATGAATAAATATGAAAATTGTAATAAAATTTCTATAAAAGTATCAAATAATTCAAGTAAAATGCCATTGACTTGAAGTATTCAAATTTTATTAGTTTTTAAGTTTTCATATAAGAGTCAATGATTTGAAATTTTATTGGTTTTTTGAAGTGTTTTAATAAAAAATTTAATGCTATCAAAGAAATAAGTTTTAATGGAAAAAATGAATTTTTGAAATCAATTATTAGATTAATAGATAATATCTTACATTAGAGAGGAATTTGCGAAATATATAAATTGTATGCATTATATGAGTGCAGAATTTGTGATAATGTTATCACAAAATACCTTTAAATCCTTTTGATAACTAAAAACGTTTAGATTACTAACAAATGTGAGCATTTTTATAAAAGTCATTGAATTATTGCAACAAGGCGATGAAAATTGTGGATACATTTATAAAATTGTAATTAAATCATTAAATTTAATTAAATTATAGCAATTAATTATTATAGTACTTAATATTATTATATTAGAATATTTTGATAAATAATATTTTCACTGGTTGTCATGTGCTAGTACATTATATAAAAATTGTTTGGTTAATAGAAATATATAATAATTCTAATTAATATTTTTAATTTATTTATATTTATAGTACACTGTCATGCATTTTCATGACTTATTTAAAAAAATAACAATTTTTGTGTAAAATTTACCAGCAGTATACTTTACAGTACAGTACAGTACATAGATATTAGTATTTAAATATTCTTTGTCATTAAATTGTCATTATTTATTGAACACAAATTATGATAAGTTTATAGAACTGAATTATAAGTAAAATTTTATTCTGATTTTAGTTTATACAGTATTATTTGAAAATGTAATAACTTCATTATGAAAAATGGTTTTTCATTAAAATTAAGGAAATACTGAAATAAAAAATCTTTGCCGAAAACTTCTTTCAACATATTTACAGTATATTAGTTTTGGTGTTAATTATATTACAGTAATTATAACTAATTCCTGTACTCTTATCACACGATACTTTTATAATGAATTAAATCCCGTGTTTAATGTCTTGTGAGTCCTCTATAATTAATGCAATGTTTTTTATAAATGTTACAAAATGTATAAAACATTTCAAGAAATGAATGGAACTTTTTTGTATCTCACAAAACAATCTTAAAACTGTTTTCTCTGAAAAATAATTTTTATTTTCAAAATATTTACATGGAAAGCAGTTAAAAATATAGCAAATTTTATTTTATTAAAATAATATAGTCTAGTAATTAAATTCCTATCAAAGTTACGGGCGTACCAAACTGAACAATCACCAGAGGTGTACTATTAGTAACATAATATATTATATATTTTCAAACTTTAAAAATAATTCAATTAGTTTTAATCTCTGTATGTCTAACACTTGATTGTGGTACCAAGTTAGTTTACAACGTTAATGATAAAATTTATGTCCAAGTCCTTCGAGAGCCCATCCCTTTTGATTTTCATATTATTAAATAATTTGTGCTAAAATATAAACATTAAAATATATCCCAAATAACTCTGCTTTTGAAAAAGGGTCGAAAAATCTTTGATAAATAACTGTTTTGTTGGATTCAATGTCAGTTCGGCATAAATATTGATCACATTTTTGGCAAAAATTCAATTATATATATATATATTGATGTTAAACAAAGTTTTGAATGCAATTTGATTTCCAAGTAAATATGTCATTGAATTAGTTTAATCACATCGAAAATTGTTCATTGAATTTGATATAATTTACGAGTATATCATATCTCTCAATGTCAGCCTCACTCCAAGAGGTCTTCACAAAAACAAATCACATTTTATATGAAAATAAAGACAAACAAAGAATTGATAACTTAACCACGATTCTCGTTTATACAGTATTTAACATAGTAAACATTTAATATCATTTATTTTGAATTTATAAAGAAGTTTTTATTAAATAAATAACAATATGCCCGTTAATAAATTTAATGATAGCCATAATTTTTGAAATTATTTTTAGAAAACGCAAAAATTTAGATATTAGAAACTTTAAATATTAAAATTATAGCATAATTGCTTAGATAATTGTAAAATTTGTTTTTAAATTATAGTCTAAAGATGTCTATAGTCTAATTATTTTTGATACATTTTTGGATTTGTTTGGTTACTTGAACATTTTAAGAATTTGGTATTATAGTGGTATTTGATTGTACATTTAATTATAATTCAAAAGACAACATTTGACTTAAATTAATTTAATTAAATTACAATAAATTGATCCATAGATACGTTGGATTTTTGGTCAACTCACTGCCCATAAAATATTTAATGTATAGATTTAATATACAACAAATTGTAACATTATTTAACATTTCTTATCAGTGGACATTATGTTCACATCATCTAGATCCTATACCACAATATTCTTCATGAATACCATATCGTTTACAGTACAATGGCTACAAAAGTTGGTACTTTTAACCAAACTTCGGAACTCATTCATTATCTCAGACTTGAATGTTTATCTCAAATCATAAGATTGTTTTAGATTACAAAATAAACAATTTACAGAATATTCTGTGGGTTACCATCATTTTTTGTAATCATATACAGTATGATAAGTGCTTGCTCAAATTTCCCATTTTCCCTGACTTACTGGGGTTAGTGCATATTGACCACTATTTTCCAATATATTATATTAAATACACTAAAATTCACAAAATGGACACAGTTCAATTAACAAAATATGTATTTTGAATCTATTTGTCAATTGACATACATTTAGCAGTTATGTGAATACTGTATGTGTTTTGTGTGACTGTAATGATGACAGTATGACTCAATTGAGGCATTGTATGCATAACTGAGTGTAATATCCGGTCAATGAGTCCATCCATGCGTTCATTGACTGCATATTTGGTCGAAAATTTGGACACAATTTCTGTGAATCACTCATAATATCAGTGATTGTGAGCTATGGCTGCAAACCAAGACATGACTACTTTGACTATCAATGAGTTTGAATCATTGGTACAACCGGTGGACGCACACGAAGATCAGGGAAAGGTATTGATCGACAAACTGCGAGTGCGAACCACGGGACTGGTAGCCCAGGGCTCCGGTAGTCGTACGGAACGGGTGTTTCACTTCCACACGGATGGCCAACACAACTATTCAACGGATAAAGAGTTACCGAAACTATTATCACCGCAAAAGTGGTCGCAACTGGAGGGTCGGCACATGGAGTCGGGTTACGAGGAGTGCCTCCAAAACGATGGACTCATCACTGATTACGACAAGTATTGGCACCAGAAATGGCATCACTTTCTCAAAGCCATTCATGACAACCATTTGATCGCCAAATATAAGCCACAGTTTGTGTCATTTGGTGGACCCGTTGCCGACATAATGGCCACACGTTTTGATAATGCATTCAATTGGATGGTGACTGCCGTTAGAGTCAAGGGTTTGTCACTATTACTCATATATTGATGACAATTGGATGAGATTATGGTTATGATTATGAAATATCAGGGATAATCTACTTATTGAAGACTGGGAACCGGCGACCAATTGTCCTAGAACCCAATGCCTGGACATACTGTGCACTCAATTTCTTGCACTCCATCACCGATAGGGACGACAACCGGAAGAATGAATACGAGAAACACTTTGCCATCAATTGTCTTGACGTGGATTCGCACCGACTGTTGACTCTCAACGAAGTGAAAGCCGTAGACGACAAGCACCAGGAGGTGGACCTAAAACTGGTGCGCGCCATACGGTCGGCCAGAAATCACAACTTCATGAGTAAAAAGTTGTTGAAATTTTGGTCGAAGGCATGGGTGCAGGGAATGGATCAGATTGTGATGGCTAACATCGAGGATGATAATCATATACTGGACGTGGAGGTCCGTTATGTGTCCCAAATGCCGGAGCAAACACATGGCAAGTGGTCTGACGACAGGTGTATTGAATTCCTCAATAGATTCCTGTCATTCGCGAAGACATGCATTACTGAAGACAGAGTTGTCTATGAATTCAGTTTC